GCATACAGGCCATGGTGGTTCAGTGCATTGCTTATTGTTTTCTTTGAAACAATCGTACCTGCTATTTTAGGTATTTTGTGATACCTGGCCATCATTTGGGACTGAACCAGCTGATATTAACTTGCACTGACAAGGGGCAGGCTTGCTTTCTAATTACTGAGAGAGTTCAGCTGGTGTCTTGGCTTTCCATGCCTTTTTACACCTTCCTTTCTTCATGTGTTCAATACTTTTTCCCTGTGCCATTCCACATTATTACAAATAACTTCATTTCTGGACCTCTAGTAATATATTTACTGAGAAAAACGGTGACGTGTTCAATACTTATTTTACCCGCTGTATGGAGTTTTATTGTGCAAAAATGACAACGAACAAAGCCAGTTCTAAATCAAATGCACACGAGTCAAATTCTTCACTGTTTTTGTTGTCCAAGTGTTTTGGAGCTCATAGTGTCTAAATAACTTTTAGAGAAAAAATGTACTTTTAGAAGTAATGTTACTGAATCATACATTTTACTTTTACTTGAGTAATACAGTATTACTATGAAGTATGACTCTTAATTGAATAAAACGGATACTCTACAGGCTGTACTTCACTAAATGAAAAACAAACATGTTTTAATCAAATCTGCACCTGATACAGAATTTGTTCAGATGAGAACACAAGCTTTGTTGATCTGATGTTAGTTTCTATCTGCTGAGCTGCTGACACATTTGAAAATGAAAAAGATAAATAAATACAATAAATTGTTCTAGCAAACACAGTTTAACATGTTTTATAATTTAAAACATTTTTGGAAAAGTGCTCATTTTGCCTTAATTTGTTATTTTGTAATAAACAATTTGTTAGTTTGTATATATTTATTTTATTTTAGTCTTTAAAATACCAAACTTGAACATAACTTTATGCTTTTTGTCTGATGACATCATTATTAAATATTCAGATGTTCTGCTCTGTTGGTCAGTTCTTGGGTATTCTTTTTATCAAATACTTTTTAAACTCTGAGTAATTTCTTGGAGGGATACTTCTTACTTTTGTTTTTTAAAAATATGTTGAAGTAGTGGTATTCTTACCTGAGTACAGTTTTTGGGTACTCCATCTCCTGTGCTTGTGGGTAAATCAAGCTTCATATTTTCTACCACATAAGTTTTATCCTTGATGTTTATTTTCATAGTTTATTGATGTGTTTCCCTTCCTGAATATTGTTTCCTATCATGATCGGTGTTTTTATTTCTGTTCAGATCATGCACTATTTTTGCTGTTTGTCTCCTGAATTAATTATTGCACAAAAGGTCCTGCCATAAACCTTCTGGTTTGTTCATTATTTAGTTTTAGTTTATTCTTGCATTTTGTTCTTCGTGCATTTCTGTTTAGTTTTCGTTTCTTCATTTAATGAGTCCTCTTTAGTTTCTCCCACATTATTATTCTGCCTCCCAGCTGTTTTTATTGTATTGTATTAGTTTGTGTGTGAGAAGGGTGCGCTTCCCGTTGAAAACACTTTTTTGTGTGCGCTCCCACGGCGGCTGATCGCTTTCTGGCAGACAATCACGTTATGGCACGACACCGGCCCACTTAAAGCACTGATTATAAACATATTTTTAGATTAAACATGTTAAATGTTTCAACATGTTGGGAATGCACGTGTATTAAAAGACATTTTTCTTTTTAAATGACAAACTGAAAACCACAAATACCAACTAAATTTAAAAAACCTTTTAAGACCTCTCAAAGAACAGATCATAAAAGTTTCTGACCGTTTAAAAACATGCACTTTCTCTGACTTCATGAAAAGAGGTTTTGTATGAAGAGAAGCATATGGACACGCACCGCCATGGGTACATAAAGAAATGCAAACATGGTATGGATCATTACAATTATCTCTGACGCTGAGGATAAACTGAAGTTTGCATTTCTTATCTACCGGCACTTCATACAGGAGTGGGCTGCAGGCAAATATTGTTACCTGGTTACCTTTTTTGTTGTGTTTTTAAGGATGAAAGCAGGTTGAAGTCATCAGATCTAATAAAACTGCACAGAAAGAAGTGAGAAATTTAAAGTAAATTCAGATTTACATAACTTTGGATTACTTGATACTGATTTATTTACTGTATGTAAACAAAAAAAAAACCTCAACCATCAGTATTTTTCACCGTGAAACAAATAAATAAAAAAGGTTAGTTTTTGTGCCTGATGCACAGACACAGGTGTGCCCTCAGGCTGCAGGATGTGAATCCATCTGCAGACACGACATCAGTGAAGTTTTCTGTCTAGCCTCCTTTTTACTTTATTTACTTTGAACTTTCCTTCCAGTGCTGTATAAACTCAGGTTAATACATCAGGCACCACTACACCCAGGATCTTACAATTCCTTTATTTACTCCCTGTCAGTTGCATTCTGTAGCAAACAAAGCAGCAAACAAAGCCTCTTCAGACCGACCTGACGGATCTGTTTTAGGCCTGTGTCAATTGTGTAAATCCAACAAGAGCATCATTGTCCCCCCGGAGGGGAACGGGTCATATGTTACACACCGTTTGGATCCATAAAAGGAGAAAAAAGGAACTCCTCGCCCAGAAGACCTGAGAGCCGGGACGTCGCTTCAGAACCTGTCTGTGAGTGTTTGGATGGCAGAAATATATTTATCTAAAGAGAATATCCAGTCAAGAAGGTCAGCTCTGTCTGGTTTTCATTTTAACTTTGAAATGTACGAATTTTTATTTAGTGATTTATTTTATCACTTAGAAAATTGTTCAATAATTTTAAAAAAAGGTGGTAATAAGTTTGGTAAATTTCACTCTAAACCTGCACAGAGTGACTTTTTCTTTTTGCTTCATCACACAGAGGAATCGTCTTCGTTGTTGGGAAAATGTTTGTCGTCTTGATTTGTATCTTAACTCTGCAGAAAGTCCATACTACCTGTGTGCAGGTGACTTTATTATTATTATTATTATTATTATTATTATTGTTGTTGTTGTTGTTGTTGTTGTTGTTGTTGTTGTTGTTGTTGT